TAAGTGTCACAATGACAGCTGATGGCCGCTTCTGAAGATCACTCTTCATGTGATGGTCTGCCTGCCTGTGAGCCTTTGTTATAATAACACAGTGGGCAGGGGCACAGGCAAACTCTGAGAAGATTCTCCTTGAACTCACAACTTTGTGCACCTCACAAATAAATGTAAAAATATACAAATCAGCTCTACTATTGGTATAATAGAACTCAAGTCATTCCAACACCAGCTATGTTGTTGCCCCAACACCTGCTCTACTGTGAAAACAGATCTGTCTGGGTGCTAATAGAGTCCCCGCTAGATAATTGTAATGGTCCAGTCTGGCCTTAAAAATCTATGAATCACTCTAGTGTGTGAACACCTTACAAACATTAGTGAATTTATTCTCATAACCCCTCAGTCAGAGAATTATCATCATCATTTTTACAGAAAGGAAACAGAGATGACGTACTTGCCCAAGGTCACATAGGGAGTCTGTGGCAGATGCGGGAACCCAAATCTCCAGAACCTTAATCACAAGTTCATTCTTCCTTATTATTAGTAACTTAAAGGCCATTCCATTCTGAGAATTAAAGCGAGGGTGGGAGGAGGGGCAGGTGACCTTCCTGAATGGAGCTTGGCTTTCTTTGAAAGTTAACTACTTGTGACGCATTGTATCCACCCTATGCTGCCTGATGCATCTAGTGTAAGCCTGTAAATTTACTACTGCAATAAAGGACATGTTTTAATTCACTGCTAGCGGTGTCCATCAAGATATTTATACACTGCTATGCCATTAGCATGGTATCTGAGTGCTGCAAAATCATTTGTGACACTGTAGTTAGTTAGGTTGGGTCAACATTTCATTTTCCCACTAGTAACAAGGGTTTATTAATCTAGCTGTAAAAACTTATTGTGGGCCGCAGCTTGGTGCAAAAGATCTTGGCTCCCGGTCTTTTTTCATTCCAATGAAAATGTGCCATCTGCTCCCACTTTCACTTAAAATTTCCTTTTACAAGTGTATTCTGTGGCACAGTTTGCAGCCTTGTAATTTAGACCCATTATGTTTTTTTTTTCCAAGGAGCTAATGTATTTCATAGTTGGAGTTACTTTCTTCTTAAATTACTTGAAAAATATGTCTTTATGGCCCAGAGATTTCTGCGTGTGTATGTTAAGCTGTTGGACTCGACACAACAGATTTAAAGGCACTTCGAGCACTACCTTCATGCCAAATGCAGTCCGCTACCATTTTCCTCTTATTACAGAGCTTGCCCCACAAAAACTATTGGTCCTAGCATGCTCCACCTTGGTGTTTGTGCCCTGTCTGCATTATACCCTGGGATCTGCAAGTTGTCCTAACAAGCAGCCAGTGTAGCTCTCCCATCGCCTGTATCGTTTTTGTGGGCTTTGTAAGTGCAGGCTAAGAGCGAAATCCTTGCTTTTCTTTTCTTACTTGTTCTTATTGAGTCGATGGGAGTTTTGCCTGTGTAAAGATCCAAGGTTTGGCCCAGTGTACGTATTCTTTTGCTCCTTATTACATTACTGAAATGTATCAGCCCAACTGGAGTTATTGTAGCTTTTTAAATAAACATTTTAAAATTAGTGCATTTAAAATTACCAAAATGTTTATTCCGTGGGGCTGTCACGGCCTGTTGGATAAAGAATGCAAACTTTCCAACCTAATATGCCCCAAATCTGTCTTCTCTGGAAAACTTTTACTGTCTCTTGGGTAAATAAATGCAGATACTTGTTTACCCACACGCTAAATAACCATGCACACACTAAATACATTGTACCAGAGGAACTATGGGTCTCTTGTAGGAGCATGCAGGGCCAAATGCAGCCTGGGGATTCCTAAAAACAAGCCTGGAACTGCATGAGGAGGATGAAGCTCCTCCACTGAAGTTGTGTAATCTAGTGAATTCAATCGCCATCTTTCAAGGAAGAGAGAAATGCAAATACTTATGTCTGTGTGCATTTATTTTTAAAATGTAAATTTATACACCAATCAGGTAGCAGCGCTGCAGCTTGGCCCGTAAGGGCCACATTTGAAATAACGGGGTACCCCTAGTCTATTGGGTTTTCTGTCATAAGCTGTTTTTTTCCTCCTCTCCCTGATGCATATTTAATATTTATATTGCACTAACAACCCAGAAACTCCTAACAAGGCCTTGATCTTGATGTCGTAGCCTCTGTACAAACACATTTAAACACATGATACTTGCCCCAAAGAGCTGACAATCTACATCATCTTCATTTGGGGACAGGAGGGAAACAGCCAGCTTCAGGCTGAAATAACACGGAGAATGTGACAGATGCTGATGGAAAGAAATTAAATATTAAAGCTGATGCTGTGGCTGTAACTCATTCTGTTTGTTTTTTGTTATTCTCCACTCACTTTCCCCTCTGTGTTAAATGACATGATTTAGGACTGAAGCGCCAGCTTTCAGCCTCTAGGTTTTGGTGTTTGGAAATATACGTAGAGAGATATATTGTGTCTCTGAGCATTTATGTGTAGAGGAAGAGAGCACTCCAAAGCCTGTAAGACCACATAAAGATGTTACATAGAGCTGTAATGCGGAACAAAAACATGAAAAGTGCCCTAAAAATTCCCAAGATGGAACAAGACACGATAACTGGCAATTAAAATAAATTCTGGAGTACCAAAGCTGCAGAACCCAAATCACAGTTGACTAAAAGACCTGGCTCTTCCAGAGCGTGGCATAGTTTTTTTTAGGTGGCTACAGAGATCTCATTATTAAAGCACACTGAGCTATAATGTGATGTTACCACACTTTCTTTAGAACTCGCTGCCACATAACCATCCTTTATGGAAGATAAATAACCTTGATTCCCACTCCCAATGGCTTCTAGTCTTCTTGCTGTTGCTGCTTGCAGTCTCGTCAAAGTTTAAAAATAATAATAATAAAAAAAAAATCTTTCCACTTTTTTACCTAGCACCAGATTGTAGTGTTGAAGAAACAGGACTTGGACCTGTGGGGTTTCATGTTTGGTGTAACTGCATATTTACCATTTAAAGCTACTGCGGATGCTTCTAGATATGTATTTGAAACTCCCTTCCCCCCTACCCACATGTATTATTTCTTTCTCTCCCTGCCTTGAGCTACTTATTTTCCTCATACAACTGCTTGTCATTGTCTCTCAGGGAAAGAGCAGGACTGGCAGCTGAGTATGTTAGAAGCAGAGCAGTAAATGGTCAAAAGCAGCATGCCAAAAAGACCACCCCTGCTTTATGGCATGATGTAAAAAAATGCTGGAAAAAATCCTTTCCCTCTTAAAAAAACAAACACACACACACACAGGCTGAAAATCCTGAATAGTAACAACTTTTCAGCCTTTTAATTTTTCTCCCCCGTCCAGTATTTTCTCCGCATAAATTAATTGGGCAGATGTGGCTTCACTTGAACATTGAAACAGACAGGATCGGCTTGGACATCATCAGCATTAGGTTTCAGACTTTGAAGAGAGGGTACCCCAGTAAGAGGACACATATTTTTGTTAAACTATTGCGAAATATTACAGGGGAGTAAATAAAGTGGCATTCATACTTAAATCCAGTGTTTCACAAACTTCTAGAGGTAGAAACCCTTTTGATAGAACTACTGAAAATGCTTTCAGGACCAACACATTTTTTAAAGCTCTGGTCATGGTCCACAGTTCACAGACACTTTTGAGATGCCATTTGTTTGAGGGATGAGGCGTATTCTATAAATATCTTCTATTATAATAAAGGGAAAATAAACTTTTTTGTTTTGTGTAAACATTAATACCTATTAATACTCTTCCCCCACTATTATAAACCTCCTCTCAGTAATGCTGATTAAGGAAAGCTACAAGGTCAGCATGTAGCTTTCAGGGACACGCATCTACTTGGAAAAGAATCTAGACCCAAGTGCGCGTATAGAGATCAAACTACCGGTTTGCACTTTCGCTAGTTCACGGGTACAGGTGTTCCTTTTTTCCTTTTCCTTTTCTTATAAAATTCTCTGTGATGCAGCAGCTGTTTCTGACATTCCCTTGCTTCTAGAACAATACGGCACAGCTCCTGCAGTATGGCCCCATGAAATGCTCTGAAGCTAACAGTTTGTCGCAGTCTATTAGGAGAGGCGCAATCCATCCTCTGGTCTTTATTATTATTTAGCTTAACTCTTTCCCTCCTTTTGTACCTTTTATTTCAAAAAGGCAGAAATTGAGAACAATTTAAAAAACGAGTCCGCACGTAGCACTTCTCCAGGAACAAGAAGGGGGTGAATCCCTTTGTTTGGGTTTTAAATGAGACTGCCATATCCCCAGTACTCCCTTATCCTCTTGAGCTACTGAAGCGAAGCCAAGTTCAGCAGCAGCACGCAAAAGCCCTTGCATACACTTTTATTCTGTAATTATGCTGCAGGTGGAATTTAGATGGCATCTTTATTGCGCTTGAAATGTGTCCTCCTGGTTCTGTGGGAGCAGCATTTGTGCAACTGTGCTCTTCCGTGCCGTTACAAATAGCCATTGGGCATCGATCTCAGGCAGTCTCGCTCTGTCCTGCTCCATAAAACCTGGGCCCGAATTGCCTGGCGGATGCCAGTTCCATTACACACGATCCAAGAAGTTAACTGATCCCCCTAATAGTGAATAATTTATCTCTCCATTAGGCAGTAATAAAGTGGTACACTTCACAGAGCACTGCGGTGAGGATAATTTGCATTTCCTCTTTTGGTTACGAGCGACTGCGTGGCCCCCGCCATTTTTTTTTTATATTTAAAATTTTATTATTAAAAGTATTTTCCCCTCTTCACCAGAAGCCAACATAATGGCTTTTTCATTGAGAGCGATGTGCTCATACACCGCTTCTCAAACAATCTGTCCTGTTCTGGTTTTGCTTAATGCTATGTAGCGATTATGTTACAGCCTCTCTCAGGTGGCTTTCTTCCCTCCCTTTCCCCTTCCCCACCCCCACCTCCGCTGCAGGAAGTACCATAAAATGCATTTATTCACTCTTTTAAATTGTTTCATTTCAGAGGTTTACAAACGAGGACCACCTGGCGGTTCATAAACACAAGCATGAGATGACATTGAAATTTGGTCCTTCTAGAACCGATTCAGTCATCATAGCAGGTATGTGCTGCGCAGTCCTGGTCAGCTCTGAAAATGGTGCACATTAATATAGCCTGTAAGATTAATACTAGGGACCAGATGTACTGAAAAACGTCTCTACCTCCCATAAAAAGCTCTTGTGATCTGCATTTAATCAGGGGGAAGGAAAGCCAGAGGCTGCCTTCCAAGTTTCTACTTTTTTCATTTTTTATGGTAGTATCAGGTTTTGTAGGATTTTTTTTTTATACTCACCCTTTTTATCAAGACTCTGGAAGATTTACAGACAAAAGGTCTTTCACATTTCTTCATGCACTTTGAGGATGATGAACAAAAGCTGACAAACTCTGTTTCCTCTCCTCAGCCCAGGTGTCAATTTTCTTGAGCTTTTAGGCTGGCAGTTAATAAATTAAAACTCCATCTAGTGCATTGGCTACTGCCGGGAGTGCATTTGTAAAGCCCAAATGAGTTGCTCTGGAATTACTCTACACGGTCAATGCAGCCTTTATAAGATTTGAGAAAAATGTACCTGGTTGTCTGGCAGCGGATCATTGCCCGTTACGGATAGTCTCCCACCCTGTCAATCCTGCTGCATTTTGGTTTCTTAAAAGGGGGCAGGGATTGTGTCATCCATTGAATGAAACTGCTGTTATATTGAAAACGTGAAGGGAGGAGGAAATCTCTTAAATTTTATTTCAAAAACTTCATGTGAGAACCCAGTTTGATCTCTCCTGGGGGCAGAGGGGAGCTCACTAAATGGACAAACACCGTGTCACCAGATTTGGTGCTAATGAAAGCAGTTGCAACTCAGTCCACTTCTTATGGCCGTGAGATTAATCACTACATAGAGTGGATCTTTACTGAGTTTATCTAGTTTGGGAAAATTTGCGGTAAAGGCAGAAAATACTTCCTAATGGGGGACATATTGGTTATGGAATAGTATCCATAGAGAAGTGTTGGAATAGTTGTAAATCAGATTGTACAAAACCCTGGCTAGAAAATGCTGGGATGAATATTGAAAACACTTGGATAGTTTTCCTTTCATTCTGTGAAGTTGGAGTTGGAGGCTAAGGGGGACTGCATGGCGCTCAAAGAATGTTCTTTCTCCTTTGCTCTACCTCCCAAAAAGGGATATGGAGGACGGGTTGCAGTTTTCATTTGATAACTCTGAAGTATAAACTGGCCAACCAGTGATTTGGGGGTCGCGAATTAATAATGATCAATTAATTACGTTTTAGATTTTCTCAGCTCTGATTAAAATCCTATCTACACTATAGAAAGAAACATGTGTAAGCACAGGATTCTGTTGCTATTAGCAGTGTTCATGATATAACATATATCTTGTTTCCTGGGTGAGCAGAAAGTCTATGTTATAATCATCCATGTTGTACCATAAGTCTTGACGCATTTTTCTAATGCAATTATAATGGGGTTTTCTGTCCATTCAAGAATGCAAGAAAAATAGCATTACACAGCTACATCACACCTGACTCTGACTGAGATTCATATTGGCACATGGTTCTTTCTGTCTTGCAATTTGAAAAGATTAGGACTGTAGAACTGCTTGTTCATACAAGTACAAGTAAGTCTTCTCTTCACTGCCAAACAAGGTGTATCCGTTGGGTTTTTTGTTAATCTCGGAGTAGCTAATGTTTGAGATATCCGAACATAAAACCACAGTGAAAACAGGGCACTTTAGTTTTTACTTTGAGGTAAAATAGGTGAGAAAAGCAGTATTCCCATCCCTGGGGTTGACCTTGTTGACTTCACCATAAAAATGAAGTGCTGGTCTTCATTGTGTTTACCGCAGCCCTTGCTTATTAGTTACCCCAAGGTAAAAAAAAAACAAAAAAAACCCACCTTTTTTTTAGCAGTGAAAACTGGGCCTAAAACATGCAGAAAAGACTGAGTCATGTCTTAACACTATGTGGATACTCCTACATTGCAACCAGGTCCAAAAGCCTTTTCTGTTTGATATTTATGTGGTAAGTAAAGGACTATTGGTAGGGCCCTAGCAAATTCATGGCCCTGAAAAACACGTCACAGACAGTGAAATCTGGTCTTTTGTATACTTTTACCCTATACAAAACAGATTTCACGGGGGAGACAAGCGTTTCTCGAATTGGGGGTCCTGACCCAAAAGGGGGCTGTGGGAGGGCTGTCACAGGGGGTTATTGTAGGGGGGTTGCGGTATTGCCACCCTTTCTTCTGCATTCCCTTCAGAGCTGGGTGGCCAAAGAGCAGCGACTGCTAGCCGAGGGCCCAGCTCTGAAGGCAGCAGCACAAAAGTAAGGGTGGCAATACTGTGACCCCCTAATAGGGTGACCAGATCACCAAAGACAAATATCGGGACGCGGGGGGGGGGGGGTGACGTGGGGGGGGGGCGTGGCGGGGGG